ACGAAACGAAACGAAACGAAAACGAAAACGAAAACATAAACATAAACAAACAAAAATTTAAAGAATGCACACTTTCAACAATACAAATACTGACTTTGAAATTTCACTGACTCTCAACAGAGCAAATGAATATTCTGCACGAGATTGAGACCAATCCTGGCCGACAGTGAACTCGAAACTGTCGTATTACATCCGTTTACTGACAACTTTGGATCAAATAAGAAAAAATAGAGCATGCAAAGCTTATAAAGCACGCGGGAATTGGCAAAATACGYGTAGCGGAGTAAAATAAAAATTTTTTAACTTTTATGAAATACAAAATTAGCAACCATTATTTTGGAATAGAAAGAGAATGTGCATGCTTYGTACTCCCATAAAACAAACGTTCCCACCCATTCAGAAAGCGAGACTCACAACAAATATCTTACAACACATTATCTTGAACGTTTACTCATGTTTACAGGGTTATTGGAACGTTGGCAAATTCTATTGAGTTCGCCAATGCATTCAACTGCAAAATAAACAGCACGATGAATCCAATCAAGAAATGTCATCTCTATAGTAAAGATGGACCATTGGACTAACAGTACGGTCTCTTGTTAAAGCTACCGTCGATTGTTAAGGCGTTCCAACCTGTAATCGCCGGATATGCTTTGTATCAAACACAGAAGAGTCCATGATGATTGAATAAAAAGATGAACGTCTTCAAAACCTGCCTATTGTATTGTTTCTATTGACCTATCAATTACATTTATCTCTTGGTGTTTTCGGTATACAAGAGAAAATGAACAAAGAGAAGGAATCCCCCGTGACCCCATCATGTGCACACTTTGATACTATTTTTAGAATCATTGATGCTATTTTTAACACGTTACCATACCCGCGCGATAATCATGCTTGCGTTTAACGCCTCGTTTTGCAAGACTGGAAGCCGCCTACCYTCAAGAAATCAACCAATCAGGTTCTTCGCTCAAAATAYCTCCAAGCTAAAAATAGCATCAAACTGTGCACATGATGGTTACAAGGGTATATACGTATGATTCCTTCTCTTAGTTCACATTCTCTTGCGGTATATCTATATTATAATACGCTATCAAGTCCCCCGTCTGTACTGAAACATTTCGCTATATGGTTCTTCACTATCCAACCGTTCATACCAATGCCTGTTTATATCAGTAACATGTAATATTGTGGTGCCTGCTTGACATCGTGAGTGAGCGATCGATCGGAAGACACGTAAGCTCAAGTATAGCTTAGATGAATTGGAACAAAGTTATTTTGAAGATGGTGTAAAGGCCAGGCTACCAAGTTACTTTTCCTCCAACCGCTTAACTTAGAGTAAAAACCCATGCTTCACTTTGTTCCAATTCATCTCAGGTGTAATGTATAAAATTTCTTGGTCGAGCAAATTTGGTGTGCAAGTAGTACTGTTTTACTGTTGCCACGTGCATCATAAAAGATGTATGCATGCTAAGCATTGACCATTGCTTAATCTATAAAGGCATTTCAACGAGATACCCTCGTTCGATAACCAATACAGCAGTTATAGTTATTTAGAGCTTCAAAGTTAACCTACTCTTAAAACGTAAGAAAAACTCTTTAGATATTCTAATATTTTCCATATATATTTAAGAAATAAAACAGCTTTTTCCGTGCTCTGTGCAGTAATAAAGCACGCAGGAAGTGAAGTAAGCACGAAAGAAGTGTAAGGAGAAGCACAGGGTGATCTTTTTTTGACATTCATGCTCCAGATTAATTAGTGTCCACTTTGCTACTGTCTTGAATACCAGAACAACCAGCTTCAATTTCATCCTCCTCATTGACGCTTCAAACGCGTTCAATGCCTTGAATAGAGCTGCTGCTCTGCATAATATCAGAGTACTCTGCCCCACCATAGCAACCTACGCAATAAACACATACTGAGAACCAGCGCGACTATTCATCACCGGAGGAAGAGAATTGAATTCAGCAGAAGGTACCACGCAAGGTGACCCTCTGGCCATGGGCCTCTACGCAATCAGCCTTCAGCCATTGATCATGCATCTACAAGGGCGGATTCAAGGGGGGAGGGGGTTGGTCAAAGGGGGACTGAACCCCCCTTCAAAAAAAAAAAAAAAAAAAAAAAAAAAAAGCACAAAACAAAACTGAAGAAATAGATGCTTTTTTATTGTTTTCCGTTGTATTTTTCCTCAACTAGCCCCCCCCCCCCTAAAATTTTGGCTGCATCCGCCCTCGATCTAAATATCTCTAGCTCTGTGCAACAATGTTGGTTTGCTGATGATGCGAGTGGAGCTGGGCCGCGGTGGTGGGATGCATTGACTGAGGCTGGACCGCAGACTTAGGATACTATCCTGATGCAAAGAAATGCTGGTTGATCATAAAACTAAGACAAATAATGTATGTTGTTTTTGGGTAAAAAGCTATAGTTTCTCGACGTTTTGTTGATCAACATATTGTTAAGTTTCTTACAGAAAGAGCTTTCTTGGTTATATCCTTGCTGTCCTCTACTACTTCCAAAAAAAGCAGGCCCTCCATAGGCAGCTTTATGAATAGAAAGAAGGGTCTTCTCAAAATCCCACATATCTTCGTTCCAGTTTCCAATCATATTCCATCCTCCTAATTCCACAATACGTTCCCTCAAAGGTGCGTCACCAAGATTTTCAATGGCCGTTAAGTTTATGCACGATTTATACAAATCTGATGGCATATCCTCTACTTCTCTGCTCATTCCGTTGACTTCTTTTTTTTATTGATATATTTTTTTATTTTTTATTTTTGCTGAGCCTGTGGGCACAGTACATTTGTTTTTGGTGAGTTAGGTATGATCGGAATTTAGTGTTACGAATGCCATTGGTGGACCTCGTCATGATTGACATTGGTGAAACACGAGGTGAAAATGCACGTTGAGATCTGTATGATCGGGACACGGAGGAGGTGAAGAGGTTGAACATATGTGGTTTTCGTGGTAAGAGTGCCTTAATCCAACTTACTTTAAACTTAATTTGGTAGTATTCTAATCAGATAATTAGAAGCTGGAGCTAAATTAGAAACTTTAAGTGCGATTTTTGTTTTTTGATACAACTCGAATTAGTTACGTAAACAAAAGATTGTAAATGGACAGGACAGGAATTGCTACTGCGTCATTGATGTAAAATAGTACTCGCACGAGTTTTATATTATTTTATTAGCAAGAAAAATGATATTTGGTTTGATTAGCAAAACATATTTATTTCTAGTCGAATATTTTTATGACAAAAACGTATTTCATGCCGTAAGCTTGAATGGGGGCGGGCCAGGAATTTCTACTGCGTCATTGATCTAAAATAGTACTACTATTGGTATTTACTAAAACAAGGAACGACCTAAAACCACCTGAAACCACCTAAAACGACCTGAAACGACCTGAAACGACCTGAAACCATCTTGAAACCACCTGAAACCAGCCAAAACATTGAATCTCCATCGAGTTTGTCGTCCAGTTTGTGTATTTTATTGACTTTTATCGATCGAATCAGTTGATCATAGCTAGGAACAGTTGATCATAGGTAGGGACGGTTGATCATAGCTAGGAACAGGTAATCATAGCAAGGGARARGTGARGTATAAGTGTGGAATACTTCTATGGGAGACTATACGTATGAGCGACTATATGACATTCTACTATGAAGTACATCCCTTCCAAGGAAAACAAACACTTAATCGATCGATAAAAGTCAATAAAATACACAAACTGGACGACAAACTCGATGGAGATTCAATGTTTTGGCTGGTTTCAGGTGGTTTCAAGATGGTTTCAGGTCGTTTCAGGTGGTTTCAGGTCGTTTTAGGTGGTTTCAGGTGGTTTCAGGCCGTTCCTTGTTTTAGTAGCAGTACCCGCACGAGTTATATGTTATTACCCGCACGAGTTATGTTATATCAGCAATATACCTCAAAGGCTCTTCAATATTTCGCCCTTTTACAAAGGCGGCTTGGTTCGGATGAATTAATTCTGGTAGTAATTTCATCATTCTTTCACTGAGTGCTTTACTACATACCTTTACGTCAACGTTTATGAGACTAATTGGACGCCAGTTTTCTATAAATCTAACATCTTTGTCAGGTTTTTCTAATAGCGTCACGATTACTTGTCTTTGAGTTGTAGTTAAGAAGCCTTTTTCAAAACTATAATTAAAAGAATTTACCATTTCCTGGCCCAGTTCTTTCCAAAAACATATATAAAATTCCTTTGGTAGTCCATTATTGCCAGGAGTTTTATTGTTTGCCATTTTTTTCAAACTTTCATAACATTCTCCTGTTGTTAGATAACCTTCTACTTTTTTTCTATCTTCCTCATTTAATGTCTTTGTTGTTTTAACACTATCTATAAAATCAAAACATTCYTTCTCAGTAAACCTGTTTTTCCTTTCGTAAATTTTTTGATAAAAAACTCTTAATTTTTCTAGTATAATCTTTTCACTAGATACTTCTTCTCCATCATCTATCATTTTACGTATATGTGTCTTCGATTTCCTATGCTTTTCTAAGTTCAGGAAAAATTTGTTACTCTTTTCACCTTGCTCAAACCAAGTCACTTTTGATCTTATAATTAACCCCTCCGKGATATAATTGCTGTAATCATTTATTTGATTTTTAATATTTTCATATTCCCTTACTAATGTTTCATTCTTAAACCAATTTTCTTTCTTTTCGATTTGTTCTATTTGCGTGCACTTCTAAGTCCTTGTACTCTGATCGCAGACATTTTGTTTTAGCTTTTGAAAAAGCAATTGAAACTTTTCTAACTTCATACTTTATTAACTCCCATCTCAGGTTGGGGTTCGTATAATACTATTTTCAAACATATCCTGTTTAGTTTTAAGTATAACATCCTTGACTTTCTTTACATAATTTTCATCATTTAGTAAAGACGTATTCATTTTCCAGAAAGATGGTCCATATCTAGTTTCAGGCAATGATGATAATTTCATGAATAGTGTTGAGTAATCAGTTGCTGGAGCAATAGTTTTTTTTATTTTTTCTACTGATGGTTGAAGATAGTCCGAAATAAAAAAATAATCTAATCTACGATACAATCTCTGCTGTTTATGTGTAGCTGTACCCTGTGCATGACCACTCCAAGTGAATCGTTTTGCTTCAGGATTTCTTAAACGCCAAATATCACATAAATCAAGACTTTGTTTTACTGTTTGCAAGTGTTCAATAGATCGATTTTTCAATTTCGGATTCCCACCGACCGTTTCTAATTTTAATTCAATTACGAAATTAAAATCACCTCCCCAAACAATCGCTGTATTACTATCTAATTCGAATTTTTCGAGTTTTTCCACAATAGGTCAGGTCAGGTTTTCGAACTTGCTACTGGTACCATGTAACCCAGTACTACCTGCCACATGGACGGGTCGTCGGCGTCTAAACCGGCTCCCCCACTGGCTATCCAGTGAGGAGGGTGGCTTGACACCCAGCAGGATTAAAAATAAGACCTGTCAAAGGGTGGAGGAGCTCGTAGGAGCCAACAGCCATCAAGCAAACGTCTTCTCGGACGTAAAACCGGAGGTCCCGTCTGCTTGCACTTGACCCTCGATAAAGTGGACGTAAAAGATCCTGTTGTATTTTTCGCAAGAGTAGGGGATTGTTACCCGATACAACAGTCTGACCTTTAGCCGTGGTTTCGTCGTGCGTGTGTGTTTATTTGTTTTATTTTCGTATCATTT